ATGTTATTGTAACAGCTCACCTCTTACAGTTTACTGGATGTTATTGTAACAGCTCACCTCTTACAGTTTACTGGATGTTATTGTAACAGCTCACCACTTACAGTTTACTTGATGTTATTGTTACAGCTCACCACTTAGAGTTTACTGGATGTTATTGTAACAGCTCACTACTTAGAGTTTACTTGATGTTATTGTAACAGCTCATTACTTAGAGTTTACTTGATGTTATTGTAACAGCTCACCACTTACAGTTTACTTGATGTTGTTGTAACAGCTCACCATTAAGACTTTACTGGATGTTATTGTTTTTCATTCATACCTATTAATTTTTTGTGTGTGTTGGGGTTTATGTTCAAACATAACCAGAATTCTGAGAATTTCAACAGCTTTGGCAAATTCCGCATAGTATTTTGTTAAGAAAGATTAATTTTGATGCGTACAATCACTCACAATGATCTCTGAAGACTATTAAAGAAATACATAAAACATTATCACTGGATAAAGTCTTATAAAAATTCTTCATGTATTTATGTACACTATTTTGGTTACATAGACATAAGGCCTGATGCTAAAAGATTACTTTCTTGATAACATGTATTGGTTCTGTTTAGTAAAGTTTACAATATTGACAAACCTTTTCTAGACTTCCTTTTTTGTCAACACAAAATCAATCATCAGATTAAACAGTGTATATATATATATTGTCAACACAAAATCAATCGTCAGAGTAAACAGTTTATATATTGCAAACAATAAATCCATTCATCAGAGTAATTCAGTGTATATATTGTTAATACTAAATCCATTTATCAGAGTAAACCGGTGTATATATTGTTAACAATAAATCCATTCATCAGAGTAAACCAGTGTATATATATATTGTCAACAATAAATCCATTCATCACAGTAAACGTGTATATATTGTCAATAATAAATCCATTCATCACAGTAAACGGTGTATATATTGTCAACAATAAATCCATTCATCAGAGTAATTCAGTGTATATATTGTCAATACTAAATCCATTCATCAGAGTAAACCGGTGTATGTATTGTCAACAATAAATCCATTCATCAGAGTAAACGGTGTATATATTGTCAAAAATAAATCCATTCATCACAGTAAACCTGTATATATATATTGTCAATAATAAATACATTGATCACAGTAAACAGTATATGTTGTTTACAATAAATCCATTCATGAGATTAAACGGTGTATATATATTGCCAACAATAAATCCATTCACCAGAGTAAATCAGTGTATATATTGCCAACAATAAATCCATTCATCAGAGTAAATCAGTGTATATTTTGCCAACACTAAATCCATTCATCAGAGTAAATTGGTGTATATATTGGCAACAATAAATCCATTCATCAGAGTAAACCGGTGTATATTGCCAACAATAAATCCATTCATTGGCGTCCCTTATGCTTGGGTCCCCTTTTTGCACTACATGTACTGCATGTCCTGCACCATTCTTCCACATCTTGTCTCACACCTATCCAGTAAAATCTGTGTCGTAGGTGACTCAATGTTTTCTTAACTCCGAGATGTCCTCCTGTTACAGTATCATAGGATTGACGCAACACAACTTCCCGTAACTTTCTCGGTATAACCGTTTACCAGGTCGTCACTTTCCCATCTCCGGACAAGAATACCTTCAAGCCTCAACTGGTCCCATTGTGCCCAATAGTTCTTTGTCACAGGGCTTAGACTAGACACCTTCTCCCAAGCAGGGCGCAAAACACTTGCTTTTAGAAAATCAATCATTGGCTTCAAATCTTGGTCTTTCTCCTGTTCAGCTTTGATATCTATATTTGGTTCCACTTGACCATCATCAACTCTTTCAGTCGGCTTGACTTCATCTTGATGGCACCTAATCAGTTCAACCTCTCTTTTAACAGTTACCGGAACTTGCCCTTTGTTGTTCCCAAACTTCATTTTATCAAAATTAATTACAAACTTCCTTGGTAGTAAGTAGTCCAGCTAACTGATTGTAAATACTTATTCTAGTACAAAACATAAGACAGTGGGTATATGTAGATTATAAAACATAAGACATTGGGTATATGTAGATTATTATATTTACTACTAGCTAACTGATGGTAAATACTTATTCTAGTACAAAACATAAGACAGTGGGTATATGTAGATTATTATATTTACTACCAGCTAACTGATTGTAAATACTTATTCTAGTACAAAACATAAGACAGTGGGTATATGTAGATTATAAAACATAAGACACTGGGTATATATAGATTATTATATTTACTACTAGCTAACTGATTGTAAATACTTATTCTAGTACAAAACATAAGACACTGGGTATATGTAGATTACAAAACATAAGACACTGGGTGTATGTAGATTACAAAACATAAGACACTGGGTATATGTAGATTACAAAACATAATACACTGGGTGTATATAGATTACAAAACATAAGACACTGGGTGTATGTAGATTACAAAACATAAGACACTGGGTGTATGTAGATTACAAAACATAATAGTCTAGCACTACAACTACAGTGACACACCTAGCTTTTGTATATCAAATGTTAATAAATAATTCAAATCCCTAATGAAATTGTCCTGTTATTGTGTTTTTCTTTCACTTCAGACAAACTACTGGAACATTACCAACAGAAAGAGAGTTACGAACAGATGTAACTTATATATATATATATATATATAGAGAGAGAGAGAGATTTCACAGCCTGGCTTTTCCACACAACATAACATAATTATATTATTATATCTTCTAATTTTGTAATGTGTTCTATCATTGGCCAGATATTTGGTTAAAATAATACTTACAACACTGATTTCACAATTAAAATGTGGTGTATGAGTAGTACTGTAAAAAATACAGCATACACACTAATTTTCTAAAGATATCCCTCAGAAAATGTGTCATTTACAGTCTTCAAATAATCAAATGGAGCCATGTAGTGCATGTCAAGCCTAAAACTTTTAATGAGTATTAACTTACTCCATCAGACATTTACCTGAGGGTGGGGCTAATCTACTTACTTATGAAGATTATTTTCACAGGTTTTACAGCTATGCTATACACTCACATACATATATATATATAGATATACTTAACGATAACAAACTTGGGTTTATATCTCCATGCTTAGAACAAATACAAGTAATATTAACTATACAAGTTTAGCTTTCAAAGTTATTTCTTATTATGCCCTCAACAAGTAGTTTTTTACAGTCAGCCCACCTGAGTTAAATGAAATAATTCTATATTTAAAATATCATGGAACTTTCCAACCCTGAAAAACATGAATCCCAAACATAGCAAGAGAACTGGGGAAAAATATATGACACTATATTGGTGTAGAATTTGTTCAACAGTGCTTTCTTCATTCAAGTATTCACACTAGATACTTTCAGAAATAAACTAGAATTT